CAAGGCGCGCGCGGCGCAGCGCATGCGGGCGCTCGACGAGCAGGGGGCGAGTGCAGACATGCTGCCTGAGGCTGTGATCGAGAATGCATCGGTTCGAGACAGTCTCTTGCAGCTTCATATCTCTCGGGATCCCCAGTCCGGCACCGATGAGTCGTGGGCGCCAGATGTTGCATCGAAGCGGAACGGCAAACCAAGAGCGGATTCTGCACTCCATCGTTTTCGCACGCCCGCTGGCGCTTGAGGAGACGAGTGGGCCCGCCAGGCGCTCGCCCGACAGCGCGCTCGGCCCGTCGGCCACTCCCAGGCCGCCAGGGCCTCCGGAGGCCGACGAGGAGCAAGACGATGCAGCTGCCCGCGAAATCTCGGGTCTTTCTCAGCAGTCTGATCAGTTTGCTGCCCGTTCTTCTCCTGCGGCCCCGCCCCCGCCAACCCCTGTCGCCCTCGCCAGCGACGTCCGAGCTCGGGCGGCGGCTAACCGAGCCGCCGCTCGCGCAAAGCGGGCGGGGGGATGCGGGGCAGAACGCCGTCGTGGGCTGGTGGAGGTGGGCCCGTGGAATGTGGATCCCACCTCCGGCGTCGGCTTCGGGCTGTCAGGTAGATCGCGCCCAGCCGCGACTGCGCTCGTTGCTGAGCGGGCCCCAAGCAGCGGCCCCTCATTAATTAGTGTGGCTTCACCCTTGGAGTTTAGCGTGCCGGTTGGCGTGCAAGCGTCGCTCGAGGTCCTGGGTGCCGGGGCCTGGCCCCGGGAGCTCGCCCCTCTTCGCCCGCTGAGCGGCCTGCTGCCCACCCCCTCCTCCCCCCCTCTTTCCTCGCAGGCTGTGCCGGCCGCCCCCGCGGGGGGTGATCCGTGCCGCGGTCGAGCCTGGGGGTGGGGAGGGAGCACCTCGGCCTAACCAGCCGAGGCCCCTCCCCCGCGAAAGGGCGAGTCGACGTGGTGCGAGGGGGCCCCTCCGTGAAGGGGGTGCGGGGCCAGCCTGCCCTCCCCTCCCCGCCCCTCCTTCCTATACTTGGCCGCAGACCGTGATGCTTGGGCTCTCGGAACCTGGCGGTGCTGAGGTCAACCACTGGTCTTTTGGCTAGTGTGCGTGGGTGTCTTGGGCGCGCGCGCGCGAGATCGCGTGCGCGCGCCCCCCTTTGCTGCCCTCCTACGGTCATATTATCATAGGAGACAGAGTGGCGGGAAGATGTGGGGAGCGAGCGGCGCTGCCTTTCTCGCGCGGCCCCGCTAGCGCCGCCTGCCTCGCTTCTCCCTCGCGGCTGCGCGCGCGGCTTGGACGGGCGCCGACCATGCCGCCGCGACCACTTGCCCATGCCTCTGCCCGCGCGTGGTTGGAGCCGGCCGACTCCGCGCCGGGCCGCGCGTGGGATATCGTATAGTCGGGCCTGTCCCTCTACAGGGGGAATATTCAAAAATAGTCAAAACATAGTTTGGGGATATGTTGTCGCATTTTTGGTCATCGGTTGAATCTGTTTTGCGTCTTTTACCTAACAGCGAAGACTGATAGGTTTCTAGTGGTGTCAAAAGAGAGCATCTGATGACTCAGAAGGGAGGTCTGGGCGGCATCCGGACAGCGAGGGCCGGGCTCAGGGCCGGGCTCGTTTCAAGCAAACAGTCACACACTTCGTGCTCTTCGACCTCCCAGAACTCCATTCCCGGGCCACATTTTGAATGCCCGAAGCCAACTGTAGGCCACTTCGTGCTCTACGACTTCCCAGAACTCCACTCCCAGGCCACATTTTGGATGCTCGGAGCCAACTGTAGGCCACTTCGTGCTCTTCGACTTCCCAGAACTCCATTCCTGGGCCACATTTTGGATGCCCGGAGCCAACCGTAGGCCACTTCGTGTTCTCCGTGTTCCCAGAACACCACTCCCGGGCCACATTTTGAATGCCCGGAGCCAGCCGTAGGCCACTTCGTGTTCTTCGTGTTCCCAGAACACCATTCCCAGGCTACATTTTGATTGCCCCGAGCCAACTGTGAGGCTGAGGCTGAGGCAAGCTGAGGGTGAGGCAGGCTGAGACTGAGCCTGAGGCAGGCTGAGGCTGAGGCTGAGGCTGATGCAGGCTGCGGCTGAGGCAGGCTGAGGCTGAGGCTGATGCAGGCTGAGGCTGAGGCAGGCTGAGGCTGAGGCTGAGGCAGGCTGAGGCTGAGGCTGAGGCCGAGGCAGGCTCAGGCTGAGGCCGAGGCAAGCCGAGGCAGGCAGGCTGAGGCTGAGGCTGAAGCTGAGGCAGGCTCAGGCTGAGGCTGTGGCTGCGGCTGAGGCAAGTTGCGGCTGAGGCAGGCTGAGGCTGAGGCTGAGGCTGATGCAGGCTGAGGCTGAGGCAGGCTGAGGCTGAGGCTGAGGCCGAGGCAGGCTGAGGCTGAGGCCGAGGCAAGCCGAGGCAGGCTGAGGCTGAGGCTGAAGCTGAGGCAGGCTGAGGCTGAGGCTGTGGCTGCGGCTGAGGCAAGTTGCGGCTGAGGCAGGCTGAGGCTGAGGCTGATGCAGGCTGAGGCTGAGGCAGGCTGAGGCTGAGGCTGAGGCAGGCTGAGGCTGAGGCTGAGGCCGAGGCAAGCCGAGGCAGGCTGAGGCTGCGACTGCGAGAACAGCAGAATTCTACAACTGGATTCTCACCTAAATCTTAAGGGGAATGCTTCCAGATATGCTTGTACACATCGCTGTTAGGTTGCTTTGCCGGGATAATTTTATGTTTCGTCCAAACTCCCCCTGTATAAGGGGACATGCCGACCTCAGGATATCGGCGCGGGCCTCATGTTCTTGCCGGCCAGAGCGCGTCCAGCCGCGGCTGCGCCGGGGCCCCGCGCGGCCCCCTCTGCCGAGGGGGGCAGCTCGGCGCCCGCTGCGCGCGGGGCACGCGCGGGGCCGCGCGCGCGCCCAGCCCGCCGCCCCGTCTGCTGCCGGCCAGGTGCCACGCGCCCCTCCGCCGCGTGGGTCGCGCGTGCCGGACAGGGGGAGGCCGGGTGTGTGTGTTTTTTCCTGAGTTTTTTTTTTTTTTTTTGTGTGTGTGTGTGTGTGTGTGTATATATGTTTGTGTGTTTTGTGTGTTTTTTTTGTGTGTGTGTGTGTTTTGTTGTGTGTTTTGTGTTTTTTTGTGTGTGTGTGTGTGTGCTTTTTTTTTTGTGTGTGTGTGTGTGTGTGTGTTTGTGTGTTTTCCCACGGGCCCCGGGGAAGGGGACCCGGTTAGTGGTAGGGCCCCGGGGCCCCTCAGTTGGCCAGATTCACTAAACCAGGTTTGCCGCAACTGGTGCTTTTCGGGTGACGGCAGTTCCGGTTAGTAGAAGTGGGGTGGGGGGGCGCCCCCGGTACAAACCACTAAACCAGGTTCCACTAAACCCCGTTCTGCCAGCGCCCGAGAAGGGGCAGGGCGGGGCGCGTGGCCTACCAGTTTGAAGCCTCTCCCTCTCTCCCTGTGTTTGGCATCGCCTCGCCCCGATGCCGATCTGGAGGGCCCCCCCTCGGTTTCTGAGGGCACGTGCCTGAGGTTGTCCTCGCGTTCGGCTCGCCCATCTCAGGGACCCCGACCCCCGACGTCGTGATTTTTTCACAACGTCGACCCCCAGAGGTCTAGATCCTTTCGCCGGGACCGATTTTGCATTCCGAGTCGTTTTTTGACGGTTCCGAGGCCCGGCGAGGACCTCCAGAGGGCGAAAATAGTCGAAAACCTCCCGTCGTGATTTTTTCACGACGCGAGGGGGTCTGGGGATGGGGATCAGCTCGAGGCTGCTCGGTGGGGGGGGAGGGGCCCAACGGCGTGCGCGACCGCCGGTGGCCGCGCGTGCCTCCTGCTGCCGGCGGCTGGCCCGTCGGCATGGGCAGGGCCCGGCCCCCGCCGCGGGCAGAGCCGGCCATTGCCCCGGGAGGCGCGTCGCAGAGGCGCGCGGGCCACCCTCTGCGTCGCGAGCCGTCCGCCGATGCCGAGAGAGGGTCGCTCCCGGGAGCCGCGCGGGGAGCGCGCGCCCACGAGGGCCGTGCGCTCCGGGAGGCCGTGCGCTCGAGAGGGCAGGGAAGTGGCGTGCCTCCCTGGTGAGGCTGGGGTATCTCGTGCGCGGTGGTGGTCCTTCGCCGTCCCGTCGCACGTTCCGCATGCAGGGCGCGAAGGGATTCGGCCCCCCTCTCAGTAACGAGGGTTGGACCAGCCATGTTGGGCTCAACGCTTGTCGTTGCGACTGAGTTGCGCAGCCGAACGCGTGGCCAGGGAGAGGCCGTTCACCTCTCGAGGACTTCCCCGCAGCGCTTGCAGTGTATGCGCTGCTCTTGCGCATCCGTGCTTGCTGCTGCTATGCTGCTGCCGCAGTTCAGATTTCAGCCCGCCCGGCTCATGTTCCGTGCCCGTGCCGGCCACCTCCCCCTCCCTCCTGGGGTGCAGAGTGAAGCCTCGCTCTCCCACCCTGCCCAGCAGGTAGGCTGCTGGAGGCGCCGTGTGCGGTCACACGCGCCACAGGATGAGGTTGAGGGATTGGAGCTTGGAAATTGTAGCAGGGGGGGGATCGCTTGGAAATTGTAGCAGGGGGGGGATCGGTTTCTCACAAGACCTTTTGGCGCCCGTTCTGGCCGCTGGCCGAACACCAGTTGCTGCCAGATATCCGCGTGCCGCCCTGTTTCTGACAGGCCGCGAGCCCCATCAGAGTCGCAATCCAATCCAACAAGTCCCCTCCCCTCCCCCACTCCTCCTCCTCCTCCTCCTCCTCCTCCTCCTCCGCCTCCTCCTCGTCCCTTTTTTTTTTCTCCTCCTCCTCCTCCTCCTCCTCTTTCTCCCCTCCTCCTCTTCTTCCTCCTCCTCCTCCTCCTTCTCCCTTTCCTTTCCTCCTCATCCTTCTCCTCCTCCTCCTCCTCCTCCTCCTCACCCTTCCCCTCTTTCAGCCACGGAGACTCTGGCGCCCAGGACAGTGCAGGACACTCCTCCTCCTCCCCCTTACCCCGAGACGAGCGGACGACCCCGCCCCAGCGACTGCCGGCGGCCCCGCGGCGGCCCTGGCGGCGGGGCCCGCGCGCCGCCGAGAGGCCGCCGAGCAGCTCTACGCGTGAGCCCTTCGCAGGGCGCCTGCGGGGTGCGGCCTGTCCGGTGGCAGTCCCTGGGGCCACCTTTGGCGGAGGTTCGGTCTCGAGGTTCGATGTTTTGGGCCGTCTCGTCGGTTCGCACTGGTTTTTTCCAGCCTCGGGGTGCGTTCCAGCGGCCCCGCCTCGTCGAGGGCGTTCAGGGGTACTTGGATCGCCCCGAGCGGCCGCCAGAGGCCAGGGTCGTGGCCCGCAAGGACCCCCAATCGCGCATTGATCGGCGATGGGGGCCCGATGGCCCACCCCGCCCAGGAGCGTTCGGTCTTGCAATCGAGGGCCTATCGCCGATCTGTCGGCGACGTGTTGCCGATTCCAGCTCGATGTTTCCCTCCTTGAGCCGACGTTGCCAATCGAAGGGCCTGGCCAGAGGTGCCAGCCCGCGGCCCACAAGCAGTGACGAAGCGTTATGACCTGCCTACAGGCCCACCGAGCAATGTTCTGAGAACCTCGTGTGGTTTGCACGAAGTCATGGCGCAATTGGAAGCGGGAGCCCTGCGTGCCTCCGAAAGGCCGCTTTAAGAGTGCAGCAGCCTCCGTTAGTGTGCATTCGCGTCGATTTGTGTCGATCTAGCGTCGATTGGCGACGACCAGCGCCAGTCAGCGTCGGTTAGCGTCGGTTCGCAAAAGCCAACACGATGACACAGGAGGCTCCCACGAGTTGCCACAGAAGGCTTGGCGCCCTATCGTAGTCAGTAATTGTTGACGCTTCGCGTATCCCCACCAGTCACGACCGCCTGGCCTCTCAGACGCCCTGGGTTGCCGCTGCTTGCCGCCTGATCCGCGGCCCCGCGCGCGCCCGGGAATTTAGTCGCGGCCGCAGCCCGACCGTGACTGCTCGCCGCCGGCGCTTCCGCCTGCGGCTGTAAAAAAAGTATCCCCACCAGTGCCGGTCCCCCAATGAGGGTCACTTTGTCCATGGCATGTGCACTCGCTACAGCGGCCTACGTGCCTCTGCAGCCAATTATCTCGCTCTGTGGCCCAGTCGTTCATCCCGCTCCCTGGATCTGTCCTTCGAGCCGTCCAACCAAAAAAAGTATCCCCACCAGCATGCCTGCAGCCAGTTGGGTCTGTTTCCGTGCCCCGGACAGCTTCTGTTGTCGCCTGCGCTCTTCGCTGGCGGCCGCGACCGAAAAAATACCCCACCAGCCCATCCAGAAACGATGCCCAGGGGAGTTGAGGTGATCTGGAAAGTGGGGGAGCATGCAGAAGAGCAAAGGGCGGGGGAAGCCGTCATATACCACAGGAGGGGGAGGATGGGGGAGGAATCGTCGTCGTCGGCGGCGGAGGAGGAGGAAGAGGAGGAGGAGGAGGAGGAGGGGAAGGAGGCGGCGGCGGCGGCGGCGGCGGCGCTCCTGGGAGTCCAACGTCAACTCGGACTACGGGGTGTATTGGGTAACCCCCTCACATTTGTAAGCTCGGCACCACTCTGCACGTGGGACACGGACGGCCCTGCCCGAGAACGGGCGCGGCCCGTGCCGAAAAGGGTTCGCCAGGGGTCCGACAGCAAGCGGCAGCGGCGCGGGAGACCAGGAGCGAGCGGGTGACGTACCAAGCCGAGAGCAGGCGAAACGCCCATGCGCAGGCGACCACAGACGCCCGCGCGCAGGCCACTCACACAGCCACCAGCAGGGGACGGCCCCCGATGGGGGGGAGGAGAGGCCGACGGCCCAGGCGGAGCGGGAATGGCGAGAGGAGGGGGGGAGGGACGCAAGACCGCAGGAGTGGCCCACCTCTAAGCACATGCCCAGGGCGCATTCTCGCACTCGTTGCAGCCAAGCGGTGAAGCACAACATCGGAACACGAAGCAGTTGCCTTCACTAAAACGTTTCTCCTACGGTGCCGAGAGGCACCGGTCCGTTCAAAGTCCAGAGCAGCCATTCGTTAGAACGACGCTGGTCGTCGCCCCCCTTGCGCACAGGCGCCCTGCTAGAGCACAGGCGGCGCAGGCGTGGTCGGCAGCAAGGCAGGTCACGCCGAAGCCTCAAGGATCTTCTGACCCGCGAGCTCAGGGTGGCTAGGCGGGCGAGGGCCCGACCAGGCGTGCTTTGCTTCTTCTCCGCCGCCTCGATCACCGCCAGCAGGATGCGCTCCCACGTCCCATCCTTCATCGCGGTGGTGAGCCTCTTTTCTGTTATTGTCGAGTATCTTCCCCGTCCTGCACAGGCCGATCATGTGTTGAGCCTCGCGACTGCCTGGCTTGAACGTCTCCAGGTACTTCTGCGTGTCGGCCTTGTACGCCTCGTGCGCCGTCTCGACGGGCGTGAGGCACGCCGCGGCACACAGGAGCGTGCCTGGCGCTCCTAGCCCGTGGCCTGCCTTCCCCTTCGCCCTCGGGAGGTGTTCTTCACTGTGGGCCTTGGGCATCGCGTGCCACAGCGCGCCCTCCGTGCTGATCTCGCACAAGGGCGTGCACGCCGCCTCGAGGAGCCATGTCTTCTGGTGGGCGATCACGCCCGACTTGAGAGACAGTTGACCTGCACCTTGTCCTCGGTGCTCTCTGCCCTCGCGTACTTGATGCCCCTGCCTTGCGGGAGCGCCACGTCACTTCCAGGCCCCGCTGAAGCACACTGCTCAGAGCACGCCCGCAGGATGGGGCGCCACAGTCTGACTTGCTGTATCGGATACTCATCACCACTGTGCCGCGATGGCAACTATTACACGTTACTGCATCTAATTATCACGCGAACTTTTTTTAACCAGGAAGATGAGTGGCCAGGTGCGCCCTGGCCTCAGAGCACGTATCAACCTCAATAGAACACAACTCACACTTGTACGGGGGGTCGACGGTATGCGTATGCATTGTCACTGAGCCACGAGATGTTTGACACTCTTCCCGAGAGATACTTGTTTCGAGATGTTCAGCGGCATATCGACGGGTAGTGTAGAAGTTGTCGCACTTGATGCATTTGTTTGAGATGGTGAGGAGCTTGGCACGGGATTGCTTGCATGGTCTTCTGCTTTGGAGTCGGCCATGTGCAGTAGTAACTGTCTTCTCAAATCAAAGCCCCTCCCACACCCAGCGATATCTCTCACGTATGGTGCTGGTGCTGGAATTTCAGGGACCAAGTCGAGACCAGGGGGAAGCGGAACGTGCTCCTCACCTCCTCCGACTCCTTCTCCTCCTTCACCCCGTCCAGGTTCACCCCTATCCTGCTCCTCCACTAAGCCCGCCTCGTATATCTCCTCAAACGTCCTCGGCCCTCCTTCGATACGCTTGATTTGCGAACTTTTGACGTTCAGAAACGCGTCCCTGATCTCTGCATTGCAAAAAAGCTCCACAGGTCTGCGGAGTAGTGCAGGTCGCACTTCTGGCATGCCCAGCTCCACAACACACGCTGAAATATCAACCAAGAATTGGTCCCACCACTGGTAGACGGAACTGGCACCAGGCGTGGCACAAGCATATTTCTGGACGTCGCCTAAATTGTGCTTGTCCCACGCCGCTTATCCAAAAAGCACTGCCAGGACGAGAAGATGCCTCTCAGGCTTTCTTTCTATCTCCTGCCGCCAGCGTGTCTCGCCGGCTCTCAGCGTATAGCACGGCGTACACAGTTTCATTTCTTTCTTTCTCTCGGTGTTCGGGGGGGCGCGGTATTTCTTCGGGCTCTCGCCGGTGGCAGCTATCTTCAATCAGTCTTTGCCTTGGAGTGCTCGCCTGGCCAGATGCGCATGCACGCCCTCCTGGCGCCGAAGACCAGATTCACCCAAGGGGTAAGCAACGACCTCCGATACCAATGACCCCTCCACCACGCTCTTGTCAATCACCGTCTTCCGCCATGCGGTCGCAGCCTCCTTCCAAAAATTGCCTAGTACTGCTTGGCATCGCTTGGACGTGTGCAATTTTCCTTCGGCGAGGACCATCGAGGAGCATCCTTGATCGTTTGGCGAAAAAACCACGCACGAAACCGAAAAAATCACAGGAAATTGACGTCCGAGCGATGGCGAGACTGCGAACGCCTGTCTCGCTCGCCTCGTTCGAGAATCGGCTTCAGGCTTGCCGCGCCCTTGAGAGGGCAGCGTGCCGCCGGAGTACGTCGCCTCCTTCCCGGCCTGCCCCATCATCATTCTCTCGTCCTCCTCCTCCTCCTCCTCCTCCTTCTCCTCCTCCTCCTCCTCCTCCTCCTCCTCCTCCTCCTCCTTCCCCTATACAGTCCCCTCATTCCGTCCTGCGCCCCCTGCCCCTCCAGCTGAACCAGCGACACTCGCTTGCCACCGTTCAACGCAGCGCCTATGCTCGCCAACTCCTCGCAGAATGAGTCGCACTGAGCCCGCGTGCGCAGGCGGCAAGGCGTGGCATCCACCACTGCAGACGTCCGTGCGATGTTGCCCGAGAAACTCGAAAGCGAGATGTCCATGCGCTGCCTAGACTGCTGGTTCAAGTACGCTCTGCCGTCAGTGCTGTCTGTCAGGCAGCGCCGAAGCCATCGGACCTGCACGTAGATACTTTGTGCCTCCGGTTCACGAAAGACGTCGAGCGGCCGAATGTATGCTCCCAAGAACCACAGACACGAAATCGTATCACCTGGTAATGTCCCCTGCCCGATACTCGCGACCAACTTCCCGTCTGCACAATCGATCGACACCTGGGCGAACCTGAGCCTATGCTTGAACAACTCCGCGCCAAACTCATCACAGTGCTCGACCACGTACACATACAAGTGCTCGTGCAACACACTGTGGAAAGCATTCGTGGCATCGTGCAGCGTGGTGAGCCTACCTATTCTACTACCGTGCAAGCGTGAGGCACATGCGCTCTGGGCGAGGATGGCTTCCTCTCTCCTCCTGCCTTCCAAATATCCGAACGAGTACGTGCGATCAGTTTCGCTCGTAAGCATTGGGTACCTGTGCCACAACATGCTGTGCTACACTTTGCCTAGGGCGTCGAGCGAATGCACTAGCCGCTGGCCCTTGCACTCGCTCTTGCCGTTCAGCTTGTTGAGAGAGAACGCCTTGCTCTGGTGCCGCTGCAAGGGGGTCTCCCCCTGGTGGCGTATTGTCACGCAAATCCATGTTATACATTTGTCTATGCTCGGGAAGTGGCAGTCGCTATC